TGCTTTGAAGCGTAAGCATGCTGCGCGATGGATGGCATGTATGCGATACGCGTGTGCCGAAAGCGTGCTGTCCTCCGTGCCGCCCTCGCTGGGAAGTCATTATACAATCGCGGGGCAACGTAATGCACCACGCCTCATGCAGAGCCAGACGATACAATGAGAGGTGGGGTGGCGACACATGTTGACCAATGCATCAAAAGAAGAAGAACAAATAGATTGGGATCCAACGGCGGGTTTTAGCACTGGTGCCCAACAGTACTCCTCTCTAGAGTGAGGTCCTATCGCAGGGATGCGCAATGCACTAAGTCAGCATCAACACGTGACTACTAGAGATGGTTATGACGCTACACAGATTCAGAGCATAGTTTAGAACGATATTGAGAGTCGACTCTGGTTGGGTATACATGTGTGTGCGCGCAGGGTCGCGCGCGTGAAGTGGGTGTGACGGTTCACGGCGATGCCTCAGAAAACAAGAAAGTCTGATAGGTAAGACATTGTGCAAAATGGAGGCACCACCGAGGATGAGTAAAAGCACCAGGAAGTAAAAACGCAGACTGCACCTGCCGTCAAGAAGTGTGGGTCTCGAGAGCCGAATGCCAAAAGGGCAAGATACTCAAAGAAGCACCAGTCAAGAAATTGTGCCCGCCAAAACGCATCTCGCCCTGGTTCGCTTAGGACAAGTACGCAAGTAACAGCACAAACACGAATGCGAGCACATATCAACACATCCAACCAGAACATGCGACTCTCCATGAGACGACAGTACGATTACACTCTTGGGAGGCATGCTCTTTTTTGGAATGAGAAACCGCCGCAGACAGCAGCATGCGATGCCCCGTATCGTACACTGCGCCGTCATGGTAGCAGGCAACCCCCGCCTGCTCTACAGGGCTCCCGCGCTGGATCCCGGGAGGGGAGCCGCGTCCGAAAACCATCCACGGCCCTCCTTCGGCGCCAACTCGCCCTCCGAGTGAGGCATCCCACCCCAGCCCTAAAAGACGTCTTGGAGTTCCGTCTCCCAGCAGTGCCCCCCCACCCCCCCACCCCTCCAAATCCCTGCGCGCAAGCCCACGGTCTCGAGGTCGCCCCGAGGCGTGCCTGGCTACACCTATCCAATCCGTGCGTAACGGCCATGCGCGGCGCGCCCTGCAGGAGCGAATTCCTGGAGGATGCTCGACCCAGGGCGGTGGACGGCATCAGAGATCAGGACGCAAGCACACGATCGTCCAGCAATTCGGCTGACTCAGAATCCCAGGGTGGCCCGGGGAGGAATCACACGCCTGATAACATAGCCTTCTGACGCGACGCCGCACGTGCATCACGAAGGGACGGCACGGCATGGCAAGACATGGGTAACGGGCAGCACGTGTCACTGCACCGACCTTGCAGACGTGCTGCAGCGGATTTTTGCGCGGATTTCGGCCAGTGCAGAGCCCCGAAACGGCGAGTGAAAAACCAAGCGAATTTCGCGTGGATTTTTGTTAGTCCTCATTCCTGGCCAAAAGATCCGCACGATACTCACCTCGAAATCCAGAACGAAATTCTCCAGGACACTCCGGGCGCATCCTTCCGTTTCCAAACGAAAACCGCTCTGCGATGTTGGCGCCATGACACGTGGCATACAGCGGCAAAGGCACCACATGGCACAGCATCCGGCTCGGTATCACACGGGCACCACACATCTCAGACGACACCGCAACAGGCACGGTATGTAACAACACCAAGCAGGCCCCAGAGGGCATTACGCCACACAGCGTGGCAAGCACGACGCCGAGCATACAGCACGACACAAAGCAATACAGCACGACGCAGCTCCGCCGAACCACAGGCTGGACACAAAGGGGACGAGGTGAGAGGCTCCGCGACGGCACAGCGGCCCTGAGGATGACAGCGGGAACGCGACACCTTCAAAACGTTAACGTAATCACTATTCCTTAGGTCCAGGGTCGTTTGCCCCCCCACACCCCCGGAAAAAAACGGCAAGATTACCAATACATTCTTAAGTCACCGCAACGACCCACACTGCACCAGGCAACCGCATGCGACCTTCAGAACCGCACACAGCAACACCACAACACAGGGCACGATACCGACGATTCTCCACATGTCACCCACTCAGCACTGAGCAACCAAATCCAAGACACAAGCGCTGATGAAACTGGAAAGATGGGATGTCCCCTTCACCCCAACAGGAAGGGACGGAGCAGAGAGGACGGTGAACTGCTCATTCCCAAGCATTCCATCGACTATGCTCCAACATCTAACGTGGCCAGGCCCACCCAAGGCCCAGGATTGAAGCATCATCCCTCCATTCCCGGCCAGGACGGTGCAAACCTTCTACCACAGATGTAGCGTAGCCCCTGAACGTATGCATGCATGCACGTGCGCGTACATGTTTGCAGCTTGATGTGGCGCAAGACAACGCACTGTAGGGTAGCGAACTGCAACGTAATGCAAGACCACCTGCTGCAGCGCAAAGCAACGCAACGCAAGGTCAGACAACGTTGCATATAAGGTATGCGCATGTTCAACGCCACGAAAAAACAACGCGATGGAATGAATCATGTCAGCAAAGCGCCATAATTCACAGCCACCGTGCCTTGCACGTAGTGAAGTGTGGGTGCACGAGGGTTTGCAAAATTCTCGCCCCGACCCCAGCTCGCCAGAATTCTCTGGCGCTCCCTGAAGGTGTCGCGTGAGCCCTCCGTAAGCTGGACCCGCTGAAAACGAGCCCAAGATCGCCCAAGAAACCGACGCCCCCCGAAATAAACGGCCCCAAGAGGTTCCACAGGACGCTCCAAGGAACCCCGGGAAGCCCAAGGGAGCCCCGAGGCCCTCACAAGGGGTCAAGGAGGTTACGAAGATGGTCTCAAGAGGGACCCAAAGTGTCGAACCCGAACTGACACGAGGGCATGCGGCTGGGTACCCGTCCCAAGATGGCCCTAAGATATCTAAGACGGCAAACCAAGTGGCTTCCCAGAGGCTCCCAAGAAGCGCCCGGTTGGCCTTCAAGAGGGCATCCAGAAGCTCCCAAGAGGCCCCCAAGAGGCCCCCAAGAGGCCCCGAATTGGCTCTCAAGACGGCCCCAAGTCGCCCCAAGTGGGCCCCAGCAGACCCCAAGAGGCTCACATCGCTGAAATCCGCAGTGCAACCCATGTTCCCACTGCGCCCTGTGACACGGTGGCGGGATGGGCTGGCAGCAACTAAATCGCTGTTATAGGAATCGATGGTCATGTCAACTGGATGGACGAGTGTATCAGCAGCGGATGGAAGAACAAATGACGACATGACTTGGAACGATTCGCCTCTGATAAAAACGAAATCGGAAACGCGATAACACCATTGCGCCTCCGATAGCTTCCGACAGGGCGCCATCGGAAACGCTGTAAAACACGGCGTTTCGGACAAGGCCGCAATCGGAACCACACCGAAACACCGCGCCTACAATGAGGCGCCAGCGGCGAAACAAACCCACCGAAAACGATACAGCAATAAAAGCCCTGGTAGGGCAACATCGGGAACACAGCAGCAGAAACTCTGCGCCTGTGATTGGGCGACCCCGGGAGCACTGCCACAAGAGAGCCTTGCCTGATTACATCGCCGTGACGAAAGTTTCTTTCAATTTGCCTTTTGGAATGACGCGCTCGTGCGGAAAGGTTCGGAGCAGTTTTACTAAAACTACTCCGCGCGCAATCGCATCCCGCTCAATAGTTTATATGGTTTGGCACGGAGTGAATTCCGAGTTGTTAACGTCTCCGGGATCGGAAACTACTCCGCCGAATGACCCAGCATCATGTCATGTTAGGAATATTGAGAGGGATGGGAGAGATCTTCATCATAGCAAATTGAAGACACTTTTGTCACGGCTGTGTAGAGCGGCGTCCCCGATGATTCGGCGACGCGAGGCGGTCCTCCGACCCCATCTGCTCGCACCCCGCTCGGGGAGGCCCAGATCAAGATGATGGCGATGAGGAGGAGGATGCTGCTGATGGCGATGGTGATGACGATGGTGATGACGATGGCGAATCGAAGAAACTTTTGTCACGGCTATGTATAGCGCGCCACTGGCTGCACACAGGACATGGCTTCTGACAGGGAAAACCACCGGAAACACTCCAGAGAGTACTGTGCTTCCGAGGGGGCGGCGGCGGCGGAAACGGCGCAGGGCCACCGCGTTTCCGACGGGGCGCCATCGGCGCGTCGGGCCCCGAAGCGCACCCTCCTCGAGCCGGCACGCTCGGAGCACTGCCCGGGACAGTCCTGCAGCGCGCCTTTTGTCTGGCTCCGAGAGGCACCATCCTCCGGCCAGCACGCGCGGAAAGGGGACCCGTGGTTCTGAGTCGGGTCTCCGGGCGACCAACCCTGGGGACCCGATTGGAGGACCATGTTGTGTCTGAGATCGTTATGAGTTGACCAGCTGCGAGCTCTGTGCGAACCTTACAGACAGGGTGTCGGGGAGGTGTGACGCGCACTTCCGCCCACTCATGCTCACACAGCACTGCTAGGTCACCAGGAAGATGCCGATTCGCACATGCCGCTTCCCGTGTCATGAGCTCAGATATCTGCCCTTTGTGAGGCCACCCCTCATCTGCATCGCGCTTGAATGATGAATTTTCAAGTAACGACAAAGACCGAGACATGCTAACAACAAGGTGCAGCTGAACGGGTAGTAGACGTCTCAGCCCAGGAGTCCCAGGCCTCCGAAGTGTGGCGAGATACAGAGGAACAAAACACAGCATAAACATAATTGCTTGGCGCGCGGAGCGCGCCAGGGGCGGCCCTGGAGGCGCCGCCGGGGGGGGGGGGGCCCAGCGCGGATCCGAGAAATCCACGCGGACTGGCAAAAGTTTATGCCCACGGCGGCTTTTTCTTCTTCGAGGACAGGCGGGTGGGCGCCGGGCCCCCGGCCTCCTCACCGGAGGCGCTCCCGCGGACATGGCCCGGGCGCGCCCCCGCGGCCCCACGGCGCCCAGCGGGGGCGCGCGGGCCGAGGCCGAGGCCGCGGCGTGGCGTCCGCGGGCGGCATGGGAGCCCGCGCGGCTCGGGCCTCGGCCTCGCAGAGGGAGCCTTCGCCGAAGGCCTCGGCCGTGGCGCCGAGGCTCCCCGGGAGGTGCAGAGGCTCCCGCCTTTTGAAGGCGCGGCTCGGGTGGCTCCGGGTGGGGTCCCCTGCGGCCGCGGGAGCCTCGGCTGCGCCTCGCCCGGGGAGCCTGGAGCGGCGCCCACGGCACCCTCGATCGGCCATGGGAGGCCGAGGGCACGGCCAGAGAGCTGGTCGGGGGGCGGCAACGCTCACTTATCTTTTTGGGGTTGTGTAGGAAGGCGCCAACTATGCACCAACACCGATCCTGGCCAGGATCACCCTGGGCCCAGGATCGGTGTTGGTGTATAGTTGGTGCCCTCCGATTGTGGGGTCTGCCGTTCCTGTCGTGCCGACGTGGACCTCCGTTTCCAACACCGCGTAGATCAGTCAATGTTGAGCGATCTGCGCTCTGCGACAGCTGAGATCGTTCAGAGCTGGCCTGTCTCAGGCCGCTGGTGGCCTTGACCGCCCGTGCTGGCGTCGCCGCCGCGTCGACGCGGCGCGAACCTACAGAGGCTTTCGGATAATGAAACAGCGCCTGCGGAGCCCTGGTGATGAGCTGGGCACGATGGGAACCTCGGGATCAGTGCGAGGGCTCTGGCGAACGACATCAATCCGATTTGCGGCAAAACCACCCTCACGCGGCTACTCTCCACCACGATCGGCGCCATCACCACCATTTCTTGCAAATCGTGAGACTGACTTCCCACTCCTCTTGGCATTCATCCTGGGAACAACATCGCCACCCCGAGGAATCCAGGGGACGGGAAAAGGAGCGGATCCTCTGAACTGGGCCCGCGCGGCAGGAGTCCTTCGCATGTTGTGTGCATGATCGTCTCGGAACTTGTTCCTCCTTCCTTCCACCGAAAGAACTGCCGGAGGCTGCCCCATCGTTCACCCACAACCTGCGACGGAGCGGGGTCATCTGGGTTACCCCTGGAAGGGTTTTACCGCCCGATGCCCAAAGGATGTGGACACAACACCAACAAAAAACAACCCTGAAATCAACACACTCGGACGCACGCACGCACGCACGCACGCACGCACGCAAGCTCGCACGCACGCACACACACACACATACACATATATATATATATATATATATATATGTGTGTATATATATATATAGAAATGCATACATCTATATATATATATATATATATATATATATGCACACACACATGTATTGCGTCGGCGGCTGGGCTGAGTTACTGCTCCGGCGATCGGGCATCAGTGGGGCGTGCTAGATGCAACTTGGCTCGCGGAGCACGGTGAAAAGGGAAAGGACGCCCGGCGCAGGCGGGAACAGAGGGAGCCGGGCCCGCTCGGGCAAGGTCGGCGGCGGGGCGGGCGCCCAGGGGGAGCCAGCCGCGGGCAGCAGCTGGAGGGGAAGGCAGCCCGAAGCCGGCACGCACACACACACACACACACATACGGTCGGACCTAGGACAGAAGAACATCCCTCAAGAACTTGAGACCCTCCGCCAGCCCAACCACACAGAACATCCAAGGGTACCCTCCCCAGGATGCACAAGAGCATCCAACAAACACGAAGAACACTAGGGTACCCTCCCCGAACCGACCTCGATCTTATACCTTGGTTCGGCTGTACACACACTTTCTGCCGGCCGCACCTCGAGCGCAGCGACGAGGCGGAGAACAGAACACACACACACACACACACATGCACTTTTTGGTCGTCGCGGGCTGGCGAGTCGCCACACCGCCAGACGCGCGCGCGGGAAGCCGCGCGAGCGCCCGGTAGAGCCAGAAGAAAAGAGCAGGAGGAGCAAGGAGAGGGCGAGACGGCGGGCCCCTCGCGGGGCAGCGACCGGGCGCGCCTCGCTGGGGCGCCGGGGCAGCGAGACGGCGGGCAGGCGCCCGCGAGCGGCGGAGGCAGCAGGGGGACTGGGGCGGCGGCCGCAGGGCGCAGGGCGCAGGGCACTGGGCAGCGGGGCCGCGGGGCGGCGAGCGGGGGCGGTGCAGCAAGAGAGGGGCACAGCGCCAGAGTTGGGCGGGCCTCGCGCGGCCCGCACAGTCGAGGTTGAGCGGAGAGAGGACACGCGAAGGACACGAGACCCTTCCGAGGGCCACATTGCCATGGGAATGTAGAAGGCATGGGTCGCCAAACACAGGACGCAAGAGCACCCTTGACTTGGCAGGGTCGACCTGCCAATCCGCCTCGACTGCAGCAGCAGGACCGACAAGACGGGCGCAGCGCCAAAAGGCAGGCGGGCAGGGCGCGGCCCGCAGCCGCGGGATCGGCGGAGGGGGCGGCCGGCAGCCGGGCCCGGCCGAGAGGCCGCGGGGGGGGGGGGGGGGAGGGCGAGTTGCCGGCGAGGCGGGGCGGGGGCGAGGGCGGAGAGCGCGGCGCCCCGGACGGAGGCGAGCGAGGCGAGCGGCCGGTGGGGCGGCGGCGAAGCCACGCTGCGGGAGCGCAGAGGTCGGCCACGCCGCGAGATCGGGCGGGCACCGCCCGGGGAGTGCAGCGGGCCGCCGGGCGCCGGGCGCCGGGGCGGGGCCGGGCGCGGGCAGGGACCAGGAGATCGAGCCAGGGCCCGGGCCAAGCGGGGCCCCGGGGGGGGCGAGAGGCGACGCGCGCGCGCGCTCGCTGAAAGCCCACGGCCACGACAGGGAGCGGACCGCAGCGCGAGGCCGCGAAGCGGGGCGAGGGCGTGCCCAAGAGCGGCGGCGCAGCGGCGAGCTGCAGCCGCAAAGCGGTGGTTGGCGAGCAGGCCGGCGCCCGACCTGCGGCGCGGAGGGCCCAAGACCCGAAGCAGCGCCAGGCGCGGGCAGGTCCACGCCAGAGGCACCTGCGGGCCAAAGAGGCCCGCGGAGGAGGGGCAGCCAGCGCCCGGCGCGGCGGCCGCCGAAGCACGGCGCGCCGAGAGAGCGGGAGGTGGGGCGGCGAGCCCCGGGCGGAGACGAGGCGGAACGAGCTGCCAACTCAAGAGAGCTCCAGCAGACGCGAACGAACCCTGGGCCTAATGTTGTTCCCATCGTACTTAAGGACCACATCCCAGAAATAGGAGTACCCAGAAAAGTACCATCGTGCTTAAGGACCACATCCCAGAAATAGGAGTACCCAGAAAAGTATCGAAACAGTGTCGAACGAGCATCGCCTCCCAGGGCCCGACACGTGAAAACCCTCCGATTTCGGTACATTCTTGGCGCTCGACATGTCACCGCACCGACCTTGCAGACGTGCTGCAACGGACTTTCGCGCGGACTTCTGTCAACGCAAAACTCCGAAACGGAGAGCGAAAAACGAAGTGAATGCAGCGTGGACTTGTCGAATTCGCTCCTGGCCAAGAAAAAAAACCGCGCGAAATTCGGAACGAAATTCTCCGGGACACTCCGGGCCCACCCTATCGTTCTCCGACGTAATCCGCTCTGCGATGCTGGCGCCATGAGCCGGTGACGGCGCCAGGGGCAGGCAGGCCCGCGCCGCCCGACGCAGCAGACCGGCGGGACCCGCAGGGAGGAGGGCAGCGACCGGAGAGGCAGGCCACGGGGCGGCGAGGGCGAGGGCCCGCCGGGGCGAGGCGGCGGGCAGGAGCAGAGGGGGCGGGGCGACGGGCATCCAGCGCCTGGAGCGGGCAGGTCCGCGCTCGAGGCAGCAGGGGAGAGGAGGAGGAGGAGGAGGAGGAGGAGGAGGAGGAGGAGGAAGAGGAGAAGGAGGAGGAGGAGGAAGAGGAGGAGGAAGAGGAACCCGATGGCAAGGAGGAGAACAGCCCGAGATGGCCCCAAAAGGGCCCAAAAGGCCTCCAGGACGGCCCCACAGAGCCCCAATGGGGACCCCCAAGAGCACCTCCAAAGGCCAGAAGCATGGATTGTCCACAGGTGTTTGAAGGATTTTAACGTTCGCCTATTCGACTCTCGGGGGCCCATGACGGCCCAAGCAGCCTCCAAGATGGCCGCCAAGACGGCCCCCGAGGCCGCGAAGAGGGCCCCAAGACGGCCCAAGAGGACCCCAAGATGGCCCAAAGGGCCGCGGATAAACGATAGGATGCACACACACACACATATACATATATAACAATATATGTGAATATATACATACATACATACATACATACATACATACATACATACATACATACATACATACATACATACATACATACATATAAACATTACATTACATACATGCATACATACATACATACATGCATGAATGCATGCATGCATGCATGCATGCATGCATACATACATACATACATAGATACGTACATACATACATACATACATACATACATACATACATACATACATACATACATACATACATACATACACATATACATACATACACATATACATATACACACATACATATACATAAGCATATACATATACATATATATAGACATACACATACACATACACATACACATACACATATACACATACACGTACACATACACCTACACATACACATACACATACACATACCTATACATATACATATACATATACATATACATATACATATACATATACATATACATATACATATACCAGACCTATACATACACATAGACATATACATATACATATACATATATACATATACATATACATATACAAATACATCTACATACACATATACATATACATATACATACACGTATACAAATATATATACATTTACATATACATATACACCTACATCTACATATACACATACATATACATATACATATATACATATACATATACATATACATATACATATATATATACATATACATATACACACATATATATACATATATCTGTATATATATACATATACATATACATAGACATGACCATGTACATAAACATATACATATACATATACATATACATACATATATAGATGCACATACACACAGATGTAGTATGTCGGCCTCTTGGACCTTGGGCCTCGCCCGAACCCAAGAGGGCCTCAAGATGGCTCAAGATGGCCTCGGAACAAGCCAAGACGGCCCCAAAACGGCCCAAAACGGCCCCAAGAGGGCCCATGAGGCCCCCGAAACAACTCAAGGGAGCCCCAAGAGGTCCCCGAGAGCGCCACCAGAGGCCAAGATCATTGACTTCCCACAGGCTTTTGGAAAGAGTCTAGCGTTCTCGCCTTTCCGACGGCCCAAGCAGCCTCCAAAATGGTCCCAAGACAGGCCAAGAAGCCCCCAAGAGGGCCCCAACACGGCCCAAGAGGGCCCCAAGACGTCCCAGAGAGGCCCACAAGATGGTTCAAGAGGACCCCAAGACGTCCCAAGAGGCCCCCCCAAGAGAGCTCCAAGGCGGCTGCGAGAAACCCACAGGACGGCCTCCGAAGGTGCCAAACGGCGCAAGAGCGCCCCAAGACAGCCCAAGAAGCCCCCGAGAGCCCCAAGAGGCCCCCAAGAGGCCCCAAGAAGCCCCCAAGAGGCCCCAAGAAGCCCCCAATAGGCCTCCAAGAGCCCCTAAAGAGGCTCCCCCCAGGCCCCGCAACGACTGGACTGCACATGCTCCGGATTTCCACCCCGCGAGGCACGAGGAATCAGCACCCCCGTCCTCCAAAAAAACGTTGCACGAGGAGGGCGTGAGCTCATCGGCCATCCCTCCGCGTCCATGCGCGGCCACCTGCCGCGCCGCACACGTTCAGTTTTGAATGCAACTCACACGTATGACCATTGAGGAGGGATAGAGACGCGATGCCCCCTGGACTGATGGTCCAAAATCGGTCCAGCTCAATCTCCAGACAACTCAAACAGATCTCAGCAAGGCGCATCTTGCAAGACGGCACTGCTTTGGAAACACCTGCTGAGCAAAGCTTCGACTGAGGGGTCTAGCCCCCCGACTTGACGATGTGAGCACCGCTTGAAATACCCAACTATGAACAATCTTCTCTGCCCGAGGTCCCCAGATGCTGTCGGCCCCATCGTTCATTCTCACTCCGCGCCCTGGCGCCCGCCGCAGCGTCGCCCCCGTGCCAAGCCAGAGAAGGCGCCGCAAACCCACGCGCGCGGGAGGAGCGCGCACGCGGGAGGAGAAGCACCAGCAGCAGGTGAGCAGAGAGAGGAGAGAGGCAAGCTAGGTGCGGCCGCCTCAGCTGACATGCTGTCCCTCCCTCCCATCGCTTCCCATGGCGCTGAGGCTTTCTCTATATCCGCGGGCGCGTGTCATAGCTGACCTACAGAAAGACCACTTAGTGTTATGCGCAATCGGACAAAAAAGAAGCTGCGTGCACAGGAGGATGTGGCTGGTGAGCAGGAGGATGAGAGGGAGGAGAAAGTCGAGGACGAATAGCAGCAGCAACAGCAAAATGGAAGGAACGGTTGGACCAGGGGGACCCGGGGAAGTCCGAGGAGGGGAAATGAAGGGCGCGACAACGATGAGGAAAAATGCGGATTCAGAAGTGACCCAAGCCGGGGCGAGAGCGCCATGCTGAACGACGGAAGAAAAGCGCCGATCCGAAAATGGGGCCCACGCTGCAGCGGGAGCACCCTTTTGAAGCACTGGAAACTACCGGATTGTAAAATTATCCTGGCGAAGGACCAAGCCATATGCAGGCGTGAGTACCGCAAGGCAGGTGAGACGAAGAAAAGAGAAGTCAAGAAGCGTGTGAGGGGTGTGCCAACGTGGCGAGGTGCCGCAAGGACGGCGCTGGCTGGGGCGCCGATGGTGGAGCTCCCTATGGCTCATGAGGCCACGAAATGTGTGAGGGGTATGCCGATATAAAGCACCGACGCCATCGGATTTTGGTATTTGGGCCTTGGTGGAGCTCCGTGTGGGGCCACGATGCGTGTGAGTGTTGTACCGATATCGGTGCGGCGCCGCCTTGCAGACCCTGCTGGGGTCCTAGCTGAAACTTCCCATGGGGCCGCGGAACGTGTGATAAGTGTGCCGACAAAAGGCGGCGACACCATGCGGACCCTGGCATAGGTCCTAACTGGAGCTCCAAATGGGACCACGACCCGTGCGAGGAATGTGCGGATATGAGGCGGCGAAGCCATGGGGCCACGAAGCATGTGAGGGGTGTCCCGAAATGAGGCGGCGACGCCATGTGGACCCTGGCGTTTGGGCCTTAGTTGAAGCTTCCCGTGGGGCCACGAAACATGCGAGAGGCGTACCGAAATGAGACGGCGGCGCCATACGGACCCTGGCACTTGGGCTTCAGCTAGAACGCCCTGTGGAGCCACGAAACGTGTGAGGGTGTACCTACATGAGTCGGCGACGCCATGCGGACCCCTGCATTTGGGCCTTCGGTGGACCTCCCTATGGGACCAAGGAAAGTGTGAGGGGCGTGCCGACATGAGGCGGCGACGGCATGCCGATCCTGGCATGTGGGTCTCAGCTGGTGCTCCCCATGGCCATGGGGCCACGAAACGTGTGAGGGGTGTGTCGAAATGAGTCAGCGACGCCATGCGGACCCTGGCATGTGAGCCGTAGCTGGAGAGGTGAGGGATTTGCCGAAGTGAAATGGCGACGCCATGCGGACCCTGGCAATATGGTTTTCGCTGATCTGGAAGGGGATGACTCTGAGGACATGCGGATGGCAGAGGCAGGGATGGGAGGAGGAAGGAAGGGAGGGGGCAGGAGGAGGAGGGAGTAGGACGCGGGGCGCTGTCAGTTCAAAACGAGGACCCAACACCACAGGATCGTTGGTAATAACATCAGAAACAGTATCCTGGCGGAGATGGACCCAACCATACGCAGGCGTGAAAGACCCAACGCAGGTGGGACGAAGAACGGGAAGTCCCTATGGGGCCAAGAGGCGT